ACTCTGGGCCCCACGGGGAGCTGCGGCCTGGACAGACAGACTCTGGGCCCATGGGGGCTGCGGCCCGGACAGACAGACTCTGGGGCCCCACCCGGGGCTGTGGCCTGGACAGACAGNTCAGATCTTTTTTTAAAAAAATGTTTTTAAAAATTTGATGTGAGAGAGGGAGGAAGGGAGAGAGAGAGAGAAACATCGATGGGCTGCCTCCTGCACGGCCCCGGCTGGGGGCCGAGCCCACAGCTCAGGCAGGTGCCCTGCCTGGGAATCGAACCAGAGACCTTTGGGTGCACCGGCGACACCCAGCTGGCTGAGCCACACGGGCCGGGGCTGCGTTGGGTCGTCCCCCGTGTCGAGGTCATTGCGAGGAAGCCCCAGCGAAAGCGCCTCCTTCCCTTGCTAACTGCTCCTCCCTTCGCTCCTTTGTGCCTGGATGGTGTCGTGTGTATTTTAAATACGTCTCGAATCCTGAGCGAGGGGCGCGTGGGGCGTGTTTTCCTCGCCGTGCTGTGCGGTCCCCGTGCCCGGTGTGCAGGACGTGGGGCATCACGCGTGTGCGCTTGGAAAAGTACACACAGCTGCGGGCGGGCGCGGCTGCTCCCGAGGCCCGCGGCCCTTAGACAAACAGGGAGCGTGTTTGCCTTGGTGCCCAGGGCGGCGGGCGGTGTTTGTCCCGTATCCGAGGCTGGCGGCTGCAGGTGTGCGCGGATCGCTGACCTTTCCCCCACTTGGCTCCGGTTTNAGACTCTGGGGCCCCACCCGGGGCTGCGGCCCGGACAGACAGACGTGGGCTAGCCCAGTCCCCCCGCCGGTGCGCTGTTCTCTGGCTGGTTTCCCGGGGCCGAGTGCTGGGTTTGCAGACGAGGAACCTCCGGTGCCGGCCCAGCCGGTGCGGTGGGGCCTCGGGAGCCCATCTGGCTGTCGGACGCCCGCCGCAGACGTCACGGGTCCTCACGGCCCCTGGTGGCGCCGGCCTGAGCCGGCCCTTCTGTCCCGTCATGATCCTCGCTGGAGAGCGTCAGTCCTCACTCGGCGTGACCTCAGCGCCACCGTGTTTTGGATACTTTTTAACAAGTTGAGGACGTTTCCTTTTATTCCGGTTTTGCGGCGTTTCTGTCGGAAACGGATGTTGGCTCTTGTCCAGCGTTTGGTTGCGTCTGTTGGGACGGTCGCGAGGTTTTTCCGTTTTAGGCGGCGCTGCTGCGAGCTGCCTGACGTCTGAAGGGTGTGAGGACAACCTCGCTTCCCCGGACGGCCCGGCGCGGCGGGTGTGGGTCGTGTTGATGCATCGTCGGCTTTGATTCGCTGAGATTTTATTTAGGATTTTCTCGTCTGTGCCCCTGAGGGACGCTGTTCCCGGGCTTCCTGTGTGTCTGTGATGTCGGGGTAACTGCTGCTCGTCCCACAGAGGAGCTCGGGGGTGTTTCCTCTGCGCGGTTTTCTGGGGGAGTCTGCGCAGAACTGGTGTCGTTTCTCTCTCGCGTGTGTCATCGAGCGTAGGGGGTGCACCTGGGCAAGGGGCTCTGTTTGTGGACGTTTTTAACTACAAATTAACTACGTATTTAACTTCAAATAGGACCCCTCGGGTTACCTGCGTTTTTTTCTTTCCTGAAGAAGCTTTGATTTGTTGTTATTTTATTTTCCAAGGAACCTATTTATTTGCTTAAAAAAAATAAATATACTGATGTTAGAGAAAGAGGAGGGAGAGGAAGAGGGCTGGGAACGCGGTCGGCGGCCTCCTGCCCACCCCTGCTGGGGTCCCCGGGGTCGTCCTGACCTGGGACCGAGCCAGAGGCCTGTAGGGTCAGGGCCGAAGCTCAGCTGCGGAGCCGCACCGGCCGGGCCGGGACCTGCCCCTTTCATCTGAGTTGTTGTCAAAGTCCCTACGGTTGAGTTGTTCGCAGTGTCTCCCGCCACCCTAAGCGCTCCGTCGAGTCCGTGGAGATGCCTCCCCTCCCGTTTCTGATTTTGGAAATTTGTCTCCCATCCTGGGCGAAGGTGGGTCAATGTTACTGATTTTCTT